TAGAGGTTGAACTGAATGAATTGCTTAAGCAGGGTTGACGTGTAGCCCACTGTGTTGAATTTTGCTCTACAATATATTTCCAAACAAGATAAGAAATTGTGTTTCTAAAGCTGCTCTTGGTTGTCAGGGGAACATTTCTGAATATGTAGTGTTGTATTCTCTGGAAAGGTATGCTCGGCTATTTGCATAAAATAAAGATCCACATTAGAGTCAAAGCCCAGCTACTTTACTGTGTGGTATTTGTTGCTTGTTTGCCTGCCTAAGCAACGAGGCTTTGTCCTTGTTGCTATGCCTAAATCAATTATCAACATCAAAGCCTGAATTGTGTTAACTTTCAAGTAATGAATGGCTTCAAGAGTTTTCAGAGATACTGGAGATGTTTTCCTTCTGGTTTGTTTTAAAAGAATACAAACAAATTTGTGCAGGGCAATTGTCTCTCCTCTCCTCTCCTGTCTTTTCGTCTATAAGCCTCCCATTATGATTTGTTCTTGTCTTTTGATTTTTGATGAAGCAGAATCTCACATAAGAAAACTACTGAAAACAGTATGAACAAAAAAATACATATATTTCTGTAATTAAACTGGATTTTGCATTTTCATAAAGTGGATTGAAGTTACATTTTGCATTTAGTTTGTGAATAAATAATTTGAATTGATTTTTTATTTGGTTTTTTTTTATGAATGAAAAGTGTGGTATGCATTTGTTTTCTGCAGCATAAGCTCTGATAAAATAAAATACATCCAGTGAACCCAATTGCCTCCAGAGTTCACAACAGAGATGGCAGACTAAGAAACATGTTTTTCAGATACATGTGCTTTATTTCCTGGTCTAACAATCTAACCATGCTTTGGTTAGATTACATGCAGGCCACTTATTAACATGCATGACTTTCCACCCTTTTAGCGTGACAATTGACTGTACTTTAAATAAAGCATCACATTAACAGTAATGGGCGACTGATCGAGCCATGAATTAAATCCTGACGGAAGTAATAGAAGCCTTAAGGGGCAATTTTCCCAGGGAACAATTGGTTTAAATAGTCTATTTCCACAATAAATTCAATAATCATCTGAAAAATGCTAGTTATATTTACGTGGAACTCCTTTGACATTAATATTTTTTTGTGACAACACAAGCAAAAGCAACAGAGTTCAGTAGGAGGCCAAATTTAGTGCATCCTGCAGAGATGATTGCTTAAGTGAAATCAGGCGAGTAAGAAAATGTGGAATAAATGTTGGGCAGAATGAGGAGAGGAGCTGAGGGACAACATCTGGAGAAGGACACAGAAACTATGTAAACACTACAAAGTGATGAAGAAAGCACGAGAATAAATTGATCTGTGACAAATCACAAGCCAGCACTGAATCACAGCTTAAGATCAAAACACATAAGAATAGAAACAGAACATGAGCAATGCTAAAATTCAAGCCCAACAGACTTGTAAATTTTAGCACATCTTTGCAATATAAACATTTCTTGACAGATTAAAATTCTAAGGTTATGCAGGTCTACAACTGCATTTCATTAAATCACTTTACAGGGCAAATGAAGAGCAGCTACAGTGAGCTGTGAGGTTATCAACAAATGTATCCAATTCAATTCAGTTCAAATATCATCTCAGGACATAAAAAACTATTTCAGTTCAATCATTCATACAGTCAAATGATCAAATAGTACAGGAATCTCAGTTAGTTACTACTAACTGAACCAAACTGCTTTCTATTAGTGCAGAATAAAAACAGGTGGAAAAAAAAACAAGACAAACAAAATTTGTCTCTAAGTAGTTTAAAGTTTTTATTCAAAGAAACCTAGCAGTTTGCATCTTTAACCTCATCTATAACTGTATCAGTCATGAGACAAGATTGAAACTAGTAAAATATTTAGATAAAAAGTGTAGAATGAGGGTGAAGCGTTTGTCACTGATTAAGTGCAAAATAGTAAATAAGGAAACATCACCTCCACGTTTAAGCCTGTGATGCCTGGCCTTTTAATTGAGAGACTAACACACTCTTAGACTTTGTAGTATCTCACAAAAGGCATGTAAATTAAGATATAAATTATAGATTAGTGGTCGAGTTGTGGGAGGAATAACAAAGTGGATAATAGAGGTGCTGTATCATTCTCCAATACTGACTTCAGGTGGAGCAAAACTATTAAGATCACAGATTTACTCCCCCGTTGAGCAGACAAGCCATGCCCTCATTTGAATTTCCAGCGTTTAGCTTGCTCCGTCACCCACAGTGACTGAGTGGGCAGGTAGTGGGTTAGTGTCCTGTTCAAGGACAGGTGGCTGTTAGCAGGCGTGCTTGGCTGTCGAGAAGATCAGACCTGTGACCTTCCATTATACAACGTTTCATTTATCCAAACACACCTCCTCCATGTTGCCACAACCCTTAAACACCACTTAGCATTAAAGCAAGGCCTACTATGGGGGTTTATTATGAATACTGAACTGCTGTAGGAAGAACTCTGATTTTACAATTTGCAAAGAAAATCATAGTTCATCACTCCTCTGGTCATTGTTAAATAACGACCAATAAATCCAAAAGAAATGGTCAATGAGAAAGCAAGCAAAAGGCCGATGGCTTTTCACTTGACATCATTTCTCACACATGAGGCATCCATATGCCTGAAATGAAAAAAATGGGCCTGATAAAGGTCGTAAACCACCATGATGGCAGCTGTCAGCTGACCCACAGCTGGAAGCAGGATCTATTCATAACTGCGAGGGGGGAAAAAAGCAGAGATTGACTATGATTATCTTCAGTTGTCATTACACAGTCGGATGAAAAGTGCAGCCGCACACAGCATAGGAAACCAATATTTTTGAGTTGTCAAAAAATGCAATTCATGAGGCAAGTGAATGGCTTCATACTGTAGTGATGAAAGCAGCGTGGTTCCTCTGAGAAAGGATTATCCCTAATTGGCCCAGCTGGATAAACACAAGTATCTGTGTTAGCATGCTGCATCTCAAAGTAAATACACCAACCTTCTCCTACGTAAAAAGAAAAAAAAATGCAGAAATACAATATCTTTTACAAAAACAAACTTCAAATTGTTTTAAAGCAGTTTTATGGATTGACCAACACATAATTGAAAAGCTGAAAGAAAATGTCACATAAATTGTAAAGTGTGGTGTGCATTAACATTCTTTTCCTTTTATTCTGATACTCTGCTACTGAATTAGTAACCAGAATCCATCTAAAACAAAATCTCAGAGGTTTTTAAGGAACAACAGTGAACAAACATTACAATGAAGACCAAGAAACGCATAAAAAAAGACAATACAAACAACTGCAAACCTACCAAGACATGTTCATCTTTCTTAACTGAGCAGAGAGGAGCCCAAAAGGCACAAAGTAACTCTGGAGGAGCTACAAAGATCATCAACTCAAGTGGAAGAATCTGCTGACAGAACAACTAAGTCATCGTGCCTCTCTCCACAGATCTGGCCTTTATGAAGGAATGACAAAGGCAAAGACACAAGAAGCACCGCGGCAGTTTGCCCCAGGCTATGTGGGGCAAACTGCCGTGAAGAAATTATTCTCGTCAGATGAGATTATGATACGTATAATGAGGAAAACAGAAGCTGTAAGCAGCGGCATGCTCTGCACTAGAATCAACAGTGTGAGAAGACCGCTGAGCAGGTCACAAGAAGGACACAAATAAGTTAATGAAGGGCATTGGTTGTTATTTAATAATTCACCATCACGTACAGCTTACTGATACTAAACACTAAAATTGATTCTAGGGAAGTATTATTGTATGGGCAGCTTTTTATTTAGATTACAATACATCTTTAATGTTTGGATACAGAGGCCCCGCGAGCTTCTTCTGTTCAAGTCTTCGTCACCCTTGTTGTCTAAGATTTTAGGCGGTCAGATGACAAGGTAAAATTATTTGACATGCAAAGCTTTTCCGGTTTCCTTTGTAGTTTTGATACACAATGTAGACTTTGATCTCAAGCACAAAGATGAAGAAGAGCCAGAGGATTATGGCGTAAACTCATCTGGCAGTCTGCACCTCAATGTCCACCCACTACGCCACATACTGCAGCACAATCATCAAGAAGATTCCTCCCAGCAAGTTAAATTATTGTTTAACCTGCATGCAAGGAGCAAAGTCACATGCTTAATGCTCTGCTGTCACTCAACACATACTCTAGTAGTTTACAACTCCAGTCATCAAGTGCTGCTGTCTTGTATCTCTGCTCCAACACATCTGAATCGAAAGGCTTAATTACCTCCATGGCGTGTCAGCAGGTTTTGCAAAAGCCTGATTTAGGTGTGTTGGAGCAGAGATGGATCCAGAAGTTGCAGGACAGTGGCACTTGGGGACTGGAGTTGCAGACCCTTAGCATACACAGTAATGGGTTTTACAGTGATTTGCTAAGCCCACAGTTTCATATGTGAATCGATTCTGAGACTGCACACAATCCTAAACACTCCACTCCCACAGTGAGACAAGATGTTGGCATCATCATGCTACAGGGACATTTCTAACCAGATGAAAGGGAAGCCACTCAGTTATTGGGAAGGCTGACAGAGCTAACCACCTGAGAGTTTCTGCAGAACAGCAACTCTAGAAATTTAAAAGCATATGGCTTAGTACAAAGTAATGTGTTAAAGTTAAAAATTAAATCCAACAATGAACCTTTGGGAATATTTGGAAATTGCTGCTCACAGACACTCTATTCAATCTGAGCATGAGCAATTTCCTAAAGAAAGGGCAACATTTTAGGAGAAACATACTTTTGAAAGGCACTGTATCATCTTTCAATCTATTCTGTCTGACTCAAATGTTGCCTTGACATCTAGTCCCAACCCATGCATTCTTTATTCGGTCTTATCTCGGATGTTTTTGCATTTACTTCTTTTGCTCATTTGCTCTCTCCACACCTGTACCTCCCTGTCTTACCCCTCATCTGTGGTCTCTGGCCACATCTCAGTGTCCTGATTCACTGCTCTGTTGGTGGATCAATAGAAAGGCTCTCTGTCAGGAGGAGCCGCTGCCTCCCCCTTCACCTCACTAACTCTCCCCACCAACATTCACAGCCTTCTGGGAAGCTGGATTTCTACATCCCGTCCCCCTGAAGAGGATTTCCTCCGTCCAGTGGCTCACTCTAAATCTCTGCACCTTCCAAGTCGAGAGAGAGAGAGAGAGAAAAAAATGCATGTTGAGGTAACGAGCTTCTTAAAGAGTGAGGAAAGCACCACTTCATCTGGGAACTAAAAAATGAGATTGCCGGAGAAAATAGGATATCAGCGCTAAGCATAATGTGACAAAAAAGAAGAGGAGGAAACGAGGTGAGAGAGGGAGAAGTTGTGCATTCAGCTAACCCCCCTCCTCAGCCTGCCTCTCTCCACCCCCTAGAAAAGTCTCTCCCTCTCTCTACCTCTTTTCTCTCCGTCTCTCTGCAGCTGTGCTCTGCTGAGCGTCACCTCCACACAGCAAGTGCCTTTACTTCAGCAGAAGAGGGAGAAAGAAGAGGAAGGTGGCTGCGAGCTCCAGAGCAAAAGAAACCTCAGGAGTGCGTCTGCACGCGGCAGAGGAGTGCTTCTCTCTACACTTCATACAGAGGGGCTAAGAAGCGCACAGAGACCAGGAAGAGGCGGCTGCGTTGGAGTAACGCTGTGCCGGTGGTGCCGACTGGGGACAGGGGAATCCACTGACACTGTTGATCCTGGTGGCGCTGGCAAAAAGCTTCCAGAAGGAGACAGAGAAGCGGAAAAGCAGACAGGAGCTCGCCAAGGGGGCAGCATTTTACTTCGGAAAACGAAGCGTGGCGGCAGCAGAAACGCACACAGAGAGATACTCTCACAAAAACCAGAGTGGAAAAAGGACAGCGAGACAGCCACTGCATTTAAAAATCCACTACAACCCTTCAGTTTCTTCTGACTTAACCAAGAAATGTCTCATGTTGTTGCCCGTGGATGATGGATATTAACTTCTGGAGAGAAATTTGTCTTCTAAAATAAGATTTTTTTTCCAAACTTTGCTACTTTTTTTTTTTTTTTTTTTTGGAGTTGGGCCTGTAAACCGTTTGAGCACATCACAGATTTCTTCTTAGTTACAGAAATGGAGAGTTGTCTTGGGGACCGTTGAGATGCCTCCTCCTGATTCAGAGTAGAAAGTGGATTATGACGGCAGTATTTTGCGATTTCTTCTTTGCACCATAAAGAAAAAAAAATCCATCTACGTCTGCTGGATTTATGTCTGAGAGAAGGAGAAGATCTCAGGCATTTTCTCGTCTCCTGTGGATTACCTATGGGTTTTCTCTCATGGATGATTGCTTGCTGCCAGTTATTAAGAAAAAGTATGAAAAGGGACAAGTGAGTATTGGGCTAGATTTTCTTCCCTCTAAATCTTAAGCTCGAGTCCAAATAATGGATGGCTCTAGTGAAAGCACAATGATGCAGCTTTTGTCTAATCTAATAACACAAATTGAAACCCACTGATTGAACAGTTATGTTTAACAAATGATGATTAAGGTGTAAAAGGTATGCACATCTTGACATCTATTAATTCATTTGACAAGTTGTCCTGGATGTTTACACACCATTTGCCAATGAGCATCATTTACTAAATGAGGGGTGCTGTCTACCCAGCAGGTGGCTTGGGCACAAACAGAGATTGATTGAAGTGATCTCTGGGAATCCAATTAATGTATCCTGGATTCTTTCCGAGACAGAAGAAATGGAGGGGAAAACCACCATCTAGTTTAAACTGAGAAACCTCTGCACTCCCCAGTCAGCAACTCTCCTCCTCCTCCTCCTTTCCCACCACCTTCAACCCAGGCAAGGATGGTACCCCCACCCCCCACCAACAAGCCCCACGTTTGCCTTTCCACCATTCTTATCATGAGCAGCATGGCACTAATTGATGCCTACCTGGTGGAGCAGAACCACGGACCCCGCAAGATTGGCATCTGCATCATGGTGATGGTGGGGGACATCTGTTTTTTGATCGTGCTCCGATACGTGGCAGTGTGGGTGGGCGCTGAGGTGCGGACTGCCAAACGAGGCTATGCCATGATCCTCTGGTTCCTCTATATCTTTGTGCTCGAGATCAAAGTCTACTTTGTGTATCAGAACTACAAAGCAGACAGGAAGAGCTTGGACGCTCTCGCGAGGAAAGCCTTGACATTGCTGCTGTCCATTTGCATTCCAGTGCTGTTCATTGTGCTGGTGGCCATCGACCACATGGAGTACGTCAGGGCTTTCAAGAAACGGGAGGAGATTCGCAATCGCCTCTTCTGGGTAGTGGTGGACTTGCTGGACATACTGGACATTCAAGCTAACTTGTGGGAGCCTCAGAAGAAAGGGCTTCCTCTGTGGGCAGAAGGCCTCATGTTCTTCTACTGCTACATCTTGCTCCTTGTGCTGCCCTGTGTGTCTTTGAGCGAAATCAGCATGCAGGGCATAAACATTGTCCCCCACAAGATGCTACTTTACCCCATCCTCAGCCTGGTGACCATTAACATCATCACGCTCTTCATCCGTGGAGGAAACATGTTTCTGTACAGGGACGCAAGAGTATCTGGCATCCTAATCGGAAAGAACATACTGGCCATCATCCTAAAGACCTGCAGCTTTGTGCAGTACAGAAGACAGTTGCAGAACGCTCCTCCTGCCTTTGGAGTGGAGCTGCAGAAAAACTCAGTTGCACAAGCTCGTCCTGCGCCCACTCCACCTCAAGTGGTCATGCAGGACCAGACGCCTCTACCCGAAGTGACAACCTGTGAACACACATGACATAATGTCGGGGGTGAACCCTATGAAATGTCAATATGAGTAAATGGGACTCTCAGGATGCTGGCAGGGAGCAGTGTTCCACACCTTTTAGGTCGTGTGAACACTCATGTGAACACACGGGAGATGATGATCCCTGATGCTTAATAGCACACAGGACACTGCAGACACTTAGTGCAGACAGAGCAGTGCCGTCACAGCGGCATTACCGATGACTCAAAGCATTTCCCATGGTGAATTTAATTACCTGTGTATTTTTTCTATATGTACAAAGAAAACAAAAACCTACTGCAAAAAAAAAAAAAAAAAAATAGAGTATATTTTTGAATTGTGTGTTGCATTCCAATCGGAAACCTAAGGGTCTGTGTGCTGTGGCGTGTATTTCTGTTTCTCAGTTGTTTCTTAGTAGTCGAGGGCTTTACCTTGTCAAAGTGAGATGAGACCCAATGAGAAAATCAAAGTAATGAGGGTAAAAAAAACAGCGGTGAAAGCCCTGTCTCTTAAAAGAAGTGCGTTTTTATATGTGGCTCTTTGATCAAATACTGTGTAAAAGATAAAGGCTTTCCTGCTTTCTCACTGGCTGTAAGGTTTCGTCATAAAATCATTTTAAAGTTATTGGTCCAATGAGTATATTTATTTTTTTAAGAAATTATTTAGTAAATGCCAACTTTGTGACCAGTGTTAGGAGAAAATAAATTAGATAATCAGTTCAGTACAGATGGGAAGCTTACATCCATTCATGACAGACTTAAATTTAAATTATGGGCTTTTAATCATAAATTTGAATTAGTTTTTTTTTCCAGTGTGAGATGATTGAGCAACTAACTACCATAAAAAAATAGAACTGGTTACACATATTTGAGTTTAACATAAATATTTTCTAATTTACAGAGTCTACATAATAACTGACACATACACATGTCCCCTGCTAATATTTGGACAGATTTCCATTAGCAAACTGTATATTAAACAGAGACGGGTTTTTGCCACCAACACACTTACGGAAAAATTTTGTCTGAACGTTTGACTTCTGCTTTGGGAATAATTGATAATGTTAATTTTAACTGGTTTGTTTCTCAGTGTGGATAACTCTTACAAGCATAGTTAAGAATGTTAAAAAAGGCTGAGGTCTGGGTTTTGAGAAGCACCTTTCAGAAACATAATCTTTTTATGTGTGTATGATCCTGTTGGAACACACTGTCTGACCAAGGCAAGGACTGAAATACCTAGATGTAATGTTACTTGACACACTGTTGGCTGGCAATTGCAAACTAGCCAATCCAGGAGTACCATTAAGGAAGCGCCAAATAAGGAAGACTGTAGAGATTAGCTTCTCGATAGTGTTAAGATTCATATTAAGGTACTTTTGGTGTCTGAACTATTAAGATGGGCAGCTATAAGCATTTTTTGAGAGGGCCTGAAGTATTCATGGGTTTTAGGTATTCACATGTGACTATGCTCCTTAACCCCAATACATACCAGTGGTTCACTGTATTATTGTCATTTTTAAGAGTTTGTGCTTCTTTATTCACCCTTTGTGAAAAACAAGGTCATGCATACGTGCATCAAGCTAGTCACATTGACATGCAGCTTCCTGTTAGCAGCGTTGATCTCCTTCAAAATAAACCTTGAGTCAAAACAGCATTTATGGCCATAAATGTTAACACAGCGAACAGTGTGATGCTCTGCATTTTCAGGTCACTTCTGTGCCATTTGTTGTTCAGACTGGTGTCTGAACAACAAAAAGACTGTCTCATCAAAACATTTTAATTAGTCAACACCCAACCAATTGAGATGAGTTGAATTGGTTTGATATCCAGACAAATTAAAGCAAGAAGTCTGTTCATCATTTCAAGAAGTCAGTGGTCAAGGTGCAACTTGACCACAATGGACATTTAAACATTAGCAGGTGAAATTTAACATATGAAAAAAACAAAGCAGATTTAAACTTTCGAAAGTATGTTTTGTTTAATTACTTCACTCTGAAAAAGAATTGCAATGCGTAAAGTTTTCTTTCACAAATATAAATTGTTTTTGAGTTTTATCATATTTTGCAGGGTTATTTCTGATGATGGAAACATTTAGGTTCAACTCTGTGTATGCTATGAACAGTTTGATCAATGCAAATGATGACCATATTGCTATTTCTTTGAGATTAAATGCATTGCCAAGAAACAACGCTGCAGGAGGGTAAATGAATCCTAAATAAGAAAGCCTGTTTAATATCCACCTCAGGCACACAGCGACTATCTGAGCTTGTGCTTAGTGGCAACAGCGGTTGTAAGCACTGTCATTCTGTTCCTCACACAAAAGGACAAAATAGATACTTTGGTGCAGTGATGTGAATCCACAAAAACAGCCAAGCACACGTCTTGTCTTGATATGACAAATCTTGCTCTTTCACAAGCTCTTATCCCACCCACACCACCAGTTGAGTCAGAACTAAAGTTTTTGACTGTTTGCCTTCTCTGAATACATTTCCCTCAAAGGGAATTTTTATTACTTTCTAGCTAAACTGCACACAAAAGAAGCAGAGTTCTGGTCATCGACAGTTCTATTTTCCCCGGATGGTTCAGATGTGGACCTGGATTAATTTCTCTCACCTGTGGCTGTGTGTATGTGTCTATGTGTGTGTAATTTTAAACCCCGAGAGTGCAGGAGATGATCTAACATTTGCATCTGTGCAAGGCTCAGCTACGGGAAGGTGGCAACATTAAGTGGCACAAACCAGGATTTCACATTAAGACTGCTGTAGTCAGCACTACTTGTCGGTGTTGTTGGCTTGTAAAAAAACAACATCAGCAATTTAGACACTATATTGCACTATTGGATAATATTGTTTATACAGAACTGCTGCAATGAAAGGAAAACATTCTTCTTTTAAAATAATGGTATATTAAAACAATGTGATATGTTCTGCTGAATGCATCAACCCTGCACATTTAAAAAGTGTAAGGACTTAAAAACGTAATGTTTTTAGTGTTTTTACAAGTGACAGAAACAGATGTGCTACACAAATGTAACTGAAATTAATGTAAACATGAAATAATTTTCCTGAAGTCCATTTTTACAAATTTCACAGAAAAAAACATTTAAGATAAAGAGATGCATTTGAAAAACTAACTGCGAAAGCTCAACTTTATGGAGCAGAAACTGATGTGTTTGGTATATTATTTTATATTCATTACATGAGGAAATCTTACACTAATTAAGAAAATTTAATGCACGGAGGTCCAAAGTGCAGCCCAGGCGTCAATTACAATTACAGCACGTTTTGCTCACCTGCACATGCAGTTGATTCAGACAGACACATACAAACAATGCTGGGGTGAAATTTTTATTGACAGATTCAAATCCGCCTACAACTAAAAAGGTTAAAAATGTTTCTCTTTTGTTAACCATATTTTTCTGCTTCAATCTCATAAAGTAGAATCATAAACATCTTGTGACATTTACTCAAAAGCAAACTTGCCAGTTATAAAACTTGGGTAAATACATAAAGCTTTCTCAGTGACTCATATACTGTCCTTGTTGACAGAAACAAAACTACATTTCTTTTACTGAAAGGTCTTTCCAGATCTAAAATAACGTTTCTAACTAAAATCACACAGCTTTGATTGTTTAATAAAACATTACACTAGTTTATCATGATTGCTTTGATATTTGATTTTTTAAATATAATCTAATATTTTTTGTTGCCTGCGAGTCCTTTTTCCCCATCCTCCATCCTTTTGCCTGGGCATCTCTTTGATAGAAAAAACATATTTTACATTTTAACTAAAGCTTGAAAAACTCACGGCTTCCTTCTGTCTTATTAAACAGCCTGGAGGTGCAATTTGGAGGGATGCGCGCTTTTCTCCAGCTGTGAGCCAATTTCCAGAGGAACCCCAGTATATAGCCATAGGGTCTCATATGGACACCACATTTGTTAGTGACAAAATTTGTTCATTTCAACCTTTTGTTGAGATTTTTTAACTTCGTTGCCAATGTTAACGGTCCTGCTTAAATCTACATAATGCCCTTAAGTACTGGGTTCATCATGCATCTGCAAATACTTCTATAAGCAGGAATCATCCATGTTGTGGCTAACTTTAGATGTCATACTCCGGGCTTAGTCTGGTGTGATGGTGACACATAAGACTCATCAATAGATTAGCAGTAGATGCATATAAATCCTGAAGACAGAAAAACGAATGCCCGTCCTACCGCTTGAGAAAAGATAGAGATGCTTTGGATAACTCACCGAGGGATAAAAAGACTGAATTTTGATTGGCTCAGGGAAAAACGAGCGGAGAAAAGCAGTGTTGTCAAAACTGATGATTGGATTGAGAACTGACAGAGCTGGAAAGTGGAACTGAAAGAAATAGAGTTGCTGGAATAACTCAGTTTGATCAAACAGCAAAACAAAAGAACTGAGAGTAAAATCGTTCACATTGACATCGTTTAGAAAAGCACAATATAAAAATGTAAGACTGCAATGTTTGGATCCTGCTGCATGCAGATTTCCATTTTCTCCATCTATCTATTTAAAACTCATACTAGACTGATACTGGTTTTAATTTCCAGTTAGCTTTAAATTTATAGTCTAGCAAGACTGGTTATACTTCTCAGTATATGAATATTTATTGCTCATTGTGACAAAGATTTTCTTTAAATATGTAAAAAAAAAATAAAAACAATAGTAAGCACTACTTCTACATAGAAAGGAAAGAAGATTAGGTTCATTCCTCATATTAAATAATTGGTGAGGAATATAATGTAGGCAGTCAAATAAGAGTAGCACTATTTTAACAAATTTTTCTAAGTAAAAGTAAAAAGTAGCTTTCCAAGAAATTACTCTAGAATAAAAAAATCTATTTCATAAAGAGACTACTGAAGCACTGAGTAAGTGATCATAAAATCTGATTAAATATTTTAAAATGAGATCAAACAGACAAAATATAAAATTATCAGAATATAAATTTAATCTAAGGGACACAGTAAGCCTGTAGAGGGAGGATCTCTGGTTATATGAGATCAAAACTTTATATGTTTTGCTTATATGTAAAATGTTGTACTTATGAAATACAATACTGCATTTTACTCCAAAATCACCAATTTAGCAGTACAACATGGTTGTGGCAGCATCATACTGTGGGTTTACTCTTTTTTTTTTTTACAGGTCATAGCTGATAGAGTTTAATACAGAGCAAGCCTGGATGAGAATCTGTGAGAGGCTGCCAAAGAAAGACATGAGACTTTGAGGTTCATCTTCAATCAAGTAGTTTAGATAATGGCCTAGTTAAAGTCTAGTTATTCAATTAAGAATCTGAGGAAAAACTTGAAAATTCCTGAAGACTTGCCCCATTAAAAGTGTTTCTACAAAGTGGGCTGATTACATATCGGTTAAAAAGAAACAAAACTGTGCATCGTTTCCTTTCACCCTTATGTAATGATTTATGTTGGTCTGTTGCATCATTCCAGTAAAATGAATGACTGTGAATGAAAATGAGATAAAACATGGGAAAGTTCAAGATGAAATGAATAATTTAGCAAGGCACAGCTCATCTTTGCCAGTCAACTTTTCCCTTAATATAGTATTTTTTCCATTAAAATACATTTCAACAGGACAAAAATAAATGCTTCAAATAACTTCAGAAGTAGCTCAAACTTTTCTGTGCTTTTTTACAATGACTTCCCAACATGTTCTTGAGTCATCCCTCCCCCTCTCAAATGTAATAAATTGGAAAGGCTGCCTATCCACACCTACGATATAAACACCGACAAAGCTGCCTGGGACAAGCCAGCAAGACAAACAGTGTCTGTAAATTCACAGCTTGACCTTCGGCAGTCTTAAATGGCAGCAGAGTCGAGTAACAAATGTATTTTTCAGGGAAGGCATGTTAGAAGGTGACGAGAACAAACCGGCAGAGAAAATGAATCCTCATCAAGTATTGATTATCCTGTCTGGAGGAAAACTGATAAGATTTGAAACAACCATCTTCTGTAAAAGAAAACACCGTACTTTTTTGACGGAGCAGCAGGAGGTCTTTGATGCTGCTGAGATGTGTGTGCCTAAAGCTCATCTTTACTGGAGTATCCTACAACACAGCTTGAGTTGGGACTCTGCATGGCACTTCACAAAGTTTTAGATTCCTTATCCTTAAACTGAGATGCCCCTGTGCAGGAGTCAAGCAAATAAAAGTGATGTTTCTTGGCATAGTTCATCTAATTCATTCTAAATTTGTTTGCATGCATACACTCCAAACACACAGCAGCTCCGTGCAACATCCTTTTACAGTTTGCTGAAAAGAAGCAATTATCTGTTCTACAGTCAAAATGCTTCTGCAATTAATCTTTATCTTGGCGCTCTTAATCACCAAATTACAGCCTGGATAATTATGAAACAGCTTCCCCACACATCCAGCCATGCATGTTTTCATTTCATGCCCCTGCGACACGGAAGGTTTCGCTATCGCGCATATGCACAGTTTGTGAGGATTACCAACGGCTATGAAGTATGACCCTGACTGGAGATCAAGCCTGAGACTCTCAGCTACAATATGATCCTGCCTAAAATCAGGTCAGCAGCTCTTAGTCGACACAACGGGAAACCATGGGCATCAGAAACGAGAGGCGCCTGCTCAGAGTGGTGTTAAGTGTTGTATAAAAATATGAATTATGAAGAGGTGTTTAAATATTCAAGCAACCCAGCAGTTCAACGAGATTTATCATTTAAATCCAAGCAATTCTGCAAGTTTTCTCTCAGGTCTTGTTGACCTATAAAAGATTCAGATGGTTTATAAGTCGCTGTGATGCTTACAGGGCATTTTCTCAGGAACCCATTCATATGTAAACGGTCTAAAAATCTGAAATAATATTCTCTCAGTGTAATATCTGTGGAGGAAATAAAATGTATGTAAATATGGAGCTGTGGAAAAAAGGATTTTCCTCCGCACAGATTTCTTCTGCTTTTTGCCACATGTAAATGCAACACAGTTTAATATGAGATATAAGCTTAGTCAATATAAAATGTGGTTTTATAATGCACTTTTCATTTTAA